CCCCAAAACCCCAAAACCCCAAAACCCCAAAACCCCAGAAGGGAATAATATTGTTGAGAAATAAAATATGAGTGGGTATCCTAAGTGCCAGTTCCATGAAGAGTGCACTAGTGTGGGCTTTGTGGTGAAGCCAAGTGAGAATAGCGCCTTGGAAACAGACCTTTTGGTCTGTGCTTCTTGTGCTAATACAACTTATGCTGCAGAGGAGATTCATGCAATCCCAGGTCTTCATGGTATTATCGATTCATTGAGATGAGGTAAGGAGGAAAACTTAGGCTTGGAGAAAGTTTGAGAGTAGTATTAACAAGAAAATAGATAGAAAATTGTATTTTATAGGTGGTCATTTTTTGAAAATTGAGATAATTCTTCTTTATAGCTGAATATCATATTGACAAGATAAACTTGTTCAAAGATGAGAATAAGCTGGATATTTGATGGTCCAAACTTCTCCCTGATATCAGAAGATTCAAGGAAAAACTAGCTGAAATCAACAAGAGACTTAAGAAGGTACAGAAGAAAGATAATCTTATTGAAAGGGTTAATTTGCAGATAAATTCTAGAAGTTTGATAAATGTCCTTTTCAATTCTGAATTAATGAAACAATACAACAGACATCTGCATTGTAAGGAGTTTAAACAAGACAATTTTTCTAAAAGCAGAACCCAGCCCATTACAAATGCTTACCATACGATAAAGCTAGCTAAACTCAGGAGTAAGATCGAAGAAGAAGAACTAATTCCTCTTTCTGAACAGCTTCAAAAGGCAAATAAACTTTCCGAAGAAAGACTAAAGAAGATCCAGGAGCTTACCCAAGAAAAGCTCCAATTCGAAAAGAAACTAGCAGCTCTAGAGACTCAAGAAAATCATGCATTAGAAGAAGAAAAGGCCATTAAAGACCAAGAAATCCAACTTCTCCAACAAAAAGTAAAAACATTCTCTGAAGAAGAGCAAAAGCTCACATCCCAGCTAGAAGAGGTCAAAACCGAGTACGAAAACCTCAGTCACCAAATCGAAGGGTCCAACTACACCCTCTCCCACAGCGAATACGGGAGCATCTACTCTTCCATCATCGGCAAGAGTAAAAACTTCACTGAACTCTCCAAAATCTACATCAAACTTGACAACTCAAAGTACCAAACCCTCCTTAAACTCCTCCAATTCTTCAAACTCCCTGCTTCTACCTGAGTCTACCTATTCAACATGTACCACTACAACTCACCTTCTTTGATCAATAGGTTTATGAAGAATGCTCTTCACGACCAGATCAAGCAGTTTAATTTTAACTTTGGCCAGTGCTCAGGAGATTCTACTAAGGACTATATGGAGACTTTGAAGAAGGTAATGCCTAGGATCAAGGGTGTAATAGAAATTGGAAATATGAAGTTGACAAGAAGAGATTTTGAAGATCTGATTGTTGCTGCTAAGAATTGTGAATGCATTAAGTTCAATTGGTGATCTATTGAGACTGACGGAGAGTGCACATTTCAGGATAGGTTGGATGATGCCAGCTTTACAAAGATAGCTTTTGATTATTCTGGCAAGGAAGAGTTTAGCAATTGGAAAGAAAATGGATATCAAAGATTTAAGAATATTGTCAATGGGCTTGCGAAGGTGGAGAGTGTGAAAGAAAGAGAGATCCAGGTTGAACTTACTAGATGCGATCTGGATAAACAACTAGCAGAGTACGTATTTAACGAAGCTGGAATGGATAAGGTTACTATTGAAGGACTTTAGTTGGAGAAAAACCTTTTCAATACATTATGTCTCCTGAGGGGTTTTGGGGTTTTGGGGTTTTGGGGTTTTGGGGTTTTGGGGTTTTGGGG